CTATTTTTATGAGAAAACACATTTATCAGTTCACTAGCAGTGTAATTAGTTGCAGTTAGTACACAGTTAATTAGCAATTAAGCTTTGAACTAATTAATGATGTCTTCAGAAACTAAATTGTCAATAAACAGTGTAATCAATTACTAATTAATGAGTAACTAATGCTTAAAGAACAGTTAATACATGAATAAGGAGTATGTTAAATAATTACTTATTAGCACATAATTCCCATTTAATTCATTTAATATGTGACCCTTAACGTAAAACAATGTTGTAACCATCTTGTTCTTCAGGACTTCAGATGCACATGACTTACTAGCTACATGGTTCAGACATATGTTTGCATATTTTCTGATCTACAGTTTTAAATATAAATCCTTTGTAAAAATAAAAAGTACATGCATAAATAAATCCAATGAGATGGCACAAACTAAATTGGCAAAGAACACTGCAACTAATCTCTAAACCCATGGTATCTGATCTCATTTAGCAACATTTAACCAAAAGCTGTTGACAGTAGATTTGTACCAACAGCTCCAGCAAAAAGCAAAATGAAGAAAGATCTTTTTCTTTTAGCCATATCTTTCACATGCTATAGTTCAAGGACCATGGTTAGTCCAGATTGGTCTTGTATTTTTAATGATAACAGTTATCATTCTTAACATCCTAAGGCCTTGTCACATATCTGAATATGATGCCAAATATAGAATAAAAAGTTGTAGAGATGATGTATATATGTATATGAATAGCTTAATGATTAAAGGCAATGAATAAAGAATGATAAAAACAAGGGAGATTCATATTCATAAGATGGGCTAAATAAAGCAAACGTGTGATCAAACCTCATATTATAGACCCATCTGGTTGTTAGTTATGCAACACATGTAAAAACAGCACTGAGCATGCATAAGCTGTGATGTCAGAAATATATATATATTTCTAGTGGTGGACAATATGAAAAAGTATAACAATACTTGTGCATGCATGTGTGAGGTTTGATAAGTTGAAACAGCCAAATGCAGCAGTAGTGCTTCATGTAAATAATACTATTACAAATTGAGTAAAATGAAATTGTTTAACATTTCACATACTAATGAAATGGGACTAATGGGACTAGGCTTCCTTTATAATAAAACAGATGCTCAGTTTTCTGTATGTACTGACGATATCCATGATGTCTTCAGAAAAGCATGTTAAGACAGTTTACCACGATAGTGATACAGTATCGTAATATTGCTCTCCTCTTTGTTTTACCCTTTCACACGGAAACTGAGTTTTCATACACACATCTGGCATTAACAATCTGCTGATAGCAATTGTGCGTCCCTAAACGCATACAAACAGGGTCTAAACCGTCCTTGCACTTGCAGACATCAGTGTTGTGTTAAGCAAATGCTGCTTTCCATGTTTGGCAGGTAGCTGCTGAGTCTTGCCAAGGCCTTATACCTGCATAAGCCTGTGTCATGTACAGGCTTATGCTGAGTTGATTAAGCTCTTTGTCACAAATTTGTGTGAAGATCTGTAATTCTACGCCATAAGGTAGTGGAGGGAGCTGCTAATCTTTAAAAAAGACTCAAGAGTTTATAGTTTTTGTGCTCAATCTGCTGTGCTAAATAATGTATAGGCTTATTTTAGCAGTAGTGAAGCGGTTATCTGGGAGAATTCATCATTCCCTTTTAACACAGATGGTCAGTAGGAGAAAAGGTGGAGCAGAGATTTGGAGCATCTCTGGGGCCCAAGCTGCACTGCCTGAAGTCTACTGCTCCACACACTGAAGTCCTGTTGGGTTTGCAGTTTGCAAAAGATCTGACGTTAGCAGAATGATCGTTCTCTCTGCCAGCTGGGAGAAAGTGCTAACTGCTCTGGGTCTCTATGTGAACTCACAGAGGAGTCCTATTCTGGATTATTAAGACTAGATAGGATAAGGAGTCTTCTTGAATATTTAACAGGCATTCAAGTAACTACCTAAAGAATCAGACTGATTCATGTCTATATTTTAGAGCATTGGTGGAGAAGGGGTTCGCCCGTGTGAACCACGAGTGCTGGAATGTAAAAAAAAAATCCCTTGGGTTTCTGTGTTCGCTACAAAGGATTTGCAAGCAGTTTCATTTGAAACTGGTACAGCAAAGCGCTATAGGCACTACATGTTTGAAGTGGATAAGTTGGTGTCTTCTCTGTTTCAAGAAGAACTGCACTGAGAATAGGCAGACATGGACGCGGGAAGTGAGGGTGCCGAGGGGGCTGCAGCACCCTCAGATTTTAGGATTATTTAACTGCAGCAAAAAAAAAAAAAAATGAAATAAAACAACAGAACTTTAAAATGTTAAAATGCCACTGTTGCAGCGTGATGATGCCATATGGTTATACTAGACTCAGTCCTATGGAAAAGTGTCATGCTCTAGCAAAAGTTAGAAAGGCCGAATGGTTTATTCGAGTTAAACTAGACATTTGGCTCAATGTTCCTTGCTCAGACGATGAGAGACAATGGCAACCTGCTAATTGGCATGCTAATTGTGTCTATTTTCAATAATAAGTAAAATATTTTGTAGGACTGGACCCGAATATTTAACTATTCAGGTGTTGATTCGTTGGGTAGGTATTCAGCTTTTAATTTTGGAATTCAGATATTCGATTGTAATAAATTGTAGGCTATCAATAAAGGTTACCTGCAATATACTGTACATTTCTGGCTTATCAGGAGAAACTTGGACTCGAGGTTATGGTCCGTAAGGCAACTTTTTTTTGTCTTGCTGAAAACAAAAGCAAAAATAAACACAGCCTCTTCGGCGCTAACAGCTAAAACACAGACCTCTGCTCTTCTTCAGAAAACCCACCACTCAACCCATATTCACGAGCCCAAAAAATGGTATACGGGACAGCCCTAATATTTTACTGCATTTACACTGCATTGTTGCCCTAGCTAACTAATCTGGGATCGTGTCCAGACGTCCCCATTTTCTAGGGACAGCTCCAGCTGGGGATGGGTCCAAAAGTGGGGACTGTCCCAGGAGAATGTAGGCTACCATGCGATCTACAAATAGTGCATAATAATGCATAAAATGTGTCACTTTTTCAGCCATCCATATATGACATATGCATATGTTCACAGCAGCCATCTCTGTCTCTCCAGAACTGTAGTTAGCCCAGGGGTGTGTTTAGGGTCTGGCTATTGGGCTATAGGCACAGTTTTTCTTTTAAGTTGCGGGTGTCTTTTTACTGCCAAAATATCTAATATGAATATGAATTATAGGCTCATACAACCTCTGAATCTTTAGTGGCAAACATATTCCTGCATTATTTCTTTTTTTACCATAGTTTATTACAGTACAACAATTACTGATGATATGTTGACCACCAAAGTGAAAATGTTGACAGAAATCTGGTCACCTTAATGTTAGCAGCTTAATACTTTCTTTAAACTTAAACTAAGTTTGTTTTTTTGTTTTTTTTGAAAGCTGCACTATTAAAGTGTTTGGTTAAACTGGAAAGAAGTAGCATTACTAATTTAGGAGAAGAATACTGTGCTGAAATATGGTGTTCATGTGCTGCTGCAATCACCCTGTAAAGCCTGGAATTTTGATGGAAGATTATGAAAAAAAGTCAGAATTTTGTCCTTTAAATAATATGATAAATCATCCTTAACTTGTGAAGCTTGTAACAGACATTCAAGTAATGTATCCATCATTTTGTTTGCAATTTAAATCTCAGTTGCAGTATTACTAATATTATTAAAGTAACTGTAAGTAGATATTTTCTGTAAGTCATTCAGTCCTAAATAAAGTTTAGCTAGACACATATCTGCAAGTTAGATAGTCAGGCCTTAGACAGATAAATCCAAAGAGAGCACAGGACATTAAAGCATTAAATCACTCTGCAGTTTTGTTCACTCATCCGGAAATTCATAGTCTCCCCATTTATTTACTTCTTCATATGATAGAAAAATCTGTATGTAAAGAAAATTAACCGTCTGTATTCATATAAAGGTTTGAGTAATCCATCATGTGGATTGGTATGGTATGAAGAAGATTAAATTTTCCTCTGAAGTCACAGATATTCTAAAGTAAAGTCCTGAATCTCTGTCAAAAGTTCTGTCTTTTGCCTGGGAAGGAAAGTGAAGAGCCTATTACAGAAGGAGGGCACAAGTGGTTATTACAAATTTGACCATTCATAGATACACTATTTAAAATGTAGGTGAAATGAAGAGCAGATTTTTAGAGTAGATATGATGATAGGGTTTGAGGAACATAGTGAAGTGTTATAAAGAGGGATGAGTTAGGGCTGGGTAATAAGTTTTTAATTCACAGCCTACATACTTACTGGAACATATGTGTCTGCTTGGCATGGTTTTCATAAAAGCACTGCATTTTACACATATTCTTATAGGTAGCTGTGCAACGGAAAGTATAAATTACTGTAGTAATTTAGCTAAGGGTGCTGAACTCCTCCAAAATCTCAACTGTTTTTGACATAATAGGTACTAGATATTAGGTATTAATGAATGTGTTGTGAGTAAGCACACTTATACCAAAGTGGCTTTTCGTTTTCCTTCAAAGAAGAGTTGAACAGAGGCTGAAGTCACTGCTAACTGCTAGTTTCTATGACATGTTGCTAAGCAACCATTTTTTTGATGAGGGATGTCGAAAGAGGGCACTTAGAAATTAAACAATGCTAAATAAAATAATAACTAAAAATCAGTTTCAATTGTATACATTTTAAAACTTAGCCTTTTTTTCTTCATACACATTCATCCAGAGTAATATATATATATATATATATATATATATATATATATATATATATATATATTACTCTGGATGAACGTATATTCGTAATATACATATACATCACGAAGGTCATCATCTGGATTCATGGAAGATGTTCAGCAAATGTTGAAAATAAGTCTTTCAAGGACAGTGCTAGGAAGGACATATTAAATGACAAACATGTTTTTAGAATGTGCTTTATATATTCTCACAGTAGACTCTCTACTTATGTTACAGTTTCCCAGAGCACTGAGGGATGGAGCGCTTCATCTTCTCCCTGCTGGTGCTGGCGGTCTCTGCCTCAGGACAGCTCTGCCCGAAGCGCTGCATGTGCCAAAACCTGTCGCCATCACTCGCCATACTCTGTGCCAAGACGGGCCTGCTCTTCGTGCCCACGGTGATTGACCGGCGGACGGTGGAACTTCGTCTCACTGAGAACTTCATCACAGCAGTGAGGAGGAGGGACTTTGCTAACATGACGAGCCTCCTACACCTGACACTGTCACGCAACACCATCAGCCAGATCATGCCTTACACCTTCGCTGACCTCAAACGGCTGCGGGCGCTGCACTTGGATAGCAACCGCCTCAGTGTGGTCACGGACGATCACTTTCGGGGTCTCACCAACCTGAGGCACCTTATTCTAGCCAACAACCAGCTCCATAACATCTCGCCACATGCTTTTGACGACTTCTTGGGAACCCTTGAAGATCTGGATCTATCGTACAATAACCTGGTGGACATCCCATGGGAGACCATTGGAAGGCTTACCAATGTGAACACGCTCAACATGGACCACAACCTCATAGAACACGTTCCCTTAGGGGTCTTTTCCAACCTGCACAAGCTAGCTCGACTGGATATGACCTCCAATAAACTAAAAAAGATTCCTCCTGATCCTTTGTTTCTTAGGATACCGGTCTATGCCAAGTCCAAGGGCTCTCCACTGTCCTCGCTTGTTCTTAGCTTTGGAGGAAACCCACTCCATTGTAACTGTGAGCTTCTCTGGCTGAGGAGGCTTACAAGAGAGGATGACTTGGAGACTTGTGCCTCTCCTCCTGATCTTACTGCTAAATACTTCTGGACAATTCCAGAGGAGGAGTTTATCTGTGATCCACCTGTGATCACAAGGAGGTCCCCAAAGATCTTGGCCATGGAAGGCCAGCCTGCCAGCCTGAAATGCAAAGCCAATGGTGACCCAGACCCAGATGTCCACTGGATCTCTCCCGAGGGTCGTCTGATCTCCAACACTTCCCGCACTTTGACCTTCAGCAATGGCAGCCTGGAGATAAACATCACCTCTTTGAAAGATACAGGAGTATTCACCTGTATTGCATCTAATGCTGCTGGGGAGTCTACAGGCACTGTGGAATTGGTGGTGAGTCCACTTCCTCACCTGGCCAACAGCACTAACCGGGTCCGCGAGCCTGATCCAGGGCCATCTGATATTTTGACATCTGCCAAGTCCACCTCATCTTCTAGCAATGACACAAGGACTCAGGAGAAGAAAATGGTACTCGCGGAGCTTACTGCAAACTCGGCTCTCATCAGGTGGCCTTCACAGCAGCATTTTCCTGGGATCAGGATGTACCAGATTCAGTACAACAGTTCATCAGATGACACCTTGGTCTACAGGTAAGGGTTTAACTAATTAGTCATTATGTAAGTAACAGACATACTGATTTGGTGTCTCTGAACCTTTATATAGTTTTGACCAGGCCTGAATGTTGTGTTTGGTATTCATTTGTTTGTAATGATCAGTAACTTCCATCACAGTGCCTACTTTATGCCTTGGCAGGATACTTATGTCATGATGAGAAGAATATATGTGTCATGGGGTTTGGGCTTCTATGAGTTTTTTTATGCTGTGTGCATTTTGGAGATTTACATTTGCCTTTGTAATTTGTAAAGACAGGGACAAATAATAGAGAAGAAATTTGATTTTAGTTTCAATATGGTTACACTAACTACTGCTTCTTTTTTCTTGAAAGTATTATATAAGGCAGACTCAGGAGAGGTAGACATAAATATGACAGTTCTTTCCTGGCTTATACTTAGAAACAGCACACTCCTTCACATTTTGTAATTTGGCATTGTCTTGTATGTGTAATTGGTCTGGATGTTGGGGAAAACATGCATTTTTTTACATATACCTATTTTTCTAGTAACATTTTGGTGTAGAGCATCTTCATTGTCATGACAAGCTTATGCAGGGGTCATCTAACATTATGAGTACTGCCTTGGATCAAAGTCCTTATAGGAAAGTCTGTTCACTTAGCAGCCATCTTTAAAATGATGCCCAGTTATTTCCAGCCATTCAAGACCAGTCTACTTTCTCTTTGAATGGGGAGAGTCCAACATACTCGAACTGAAGGCCAACTTACTGTTCTAAAAACGCTTGAAATCACTGGTAAAATCTGATAAAACCTCACAAATAGTTTGGAGCATTTGTCTCAGAAACACACAAAAAATTATTTTTCACATCGTTCTGGCTACTGCGCTTGCATATATCTCTACAGCAAGAGGGGGGTTAACCCACTAGCGACACAATATTGTCGATCTTTGTAGGCTCATGGTATAACCAGCAAGCCGATTGGCTCTTTTTCTTGAAGGGTGGGACTTTCTCTGCAAACAGACACCATGTTGAACGTTATGAACATTCTCAATCATGTTTCAACCAGTGACTGGTCTCTTCATTTATAATGTCTCTGGTTGGATAAGTAACAGAAGCTGCCTCTTTAGAGCAGCTAATGAGCTAATGCTAAACCTGTGCAACATTGGCTGCTATTGAGGACTCAGTGTCTTCTACATGAGGACTTTTCTCCTCAGTGGACTATATGCTAACGTGTTATTTTATCAGACAAATATATTTTTGCTGTCTCTGGATCTAACTAACATCAATTACAATAGTTTATCTAGTTAGCAAGAAAGCTACACCAGAGTTGGGCATGCTATCTCGTCTTTCTCAGTCACATCCTCAACACATCCATGGCAACACACTTACATTCAGGCACTTGTGTTATATAGTAGCAAAATATAATATATTTACTTGCAAAGCTATCATGTTTTATAGTCAAGTTAAAACAAATAAGCCTGCTTATTTCCCTGCTCGTTTTCCGATGATGCAATGTAAAAAACACCCAAATAGTGATTTCAGTATTGAAATACTGGCACCTTGAGTGGTTAACAGTGTACACGAGTACCTGTGCACATTCTTAATACCGATCCAATATTTTTTCGTTCAAAACTTTAAAATTTGTTATTTCTGATTTAAAGGTTTCAGATTAGCATCTATAAGTAAAATCAATCATTCTACCACCCCACAGGAAGAAATACACAGCTAACAACTAAAACTGCTGTTTTAAGCTATGTTTCTTACAGGATTGGATTAGATGCATTCTATTTTCCCTGCTGATCATGACAGATGATCAGAATTTTTGTCCAAACTCAATGGCACGTGACAGCTCATGTCAAGTTTGGTCAAGTACAGACCTTCATCATTTGCCCTGCTTTTAGTGTTTCTCATTCCTTTATTCTTCCTCCTTACTTTCATCAAATGAAAACACTTTGTAATCTAGCATGCTGGAATCACCCACTCGTGTTGATGACAGAATTTAGCACCGAGGTGCACGAGTCCCACGCTTGTGAGAAAATTGATGTGTGGGAAATAAATAAGCGAATTGATTTAGCACAGTAGTTTGCTATATCAGCACAGCACAGTGTGAGACCAGTCTATTATGGAAAGTATGTCCAGATGAAAGAACTTTGGGATGCTGTGAGAAAGCATTGCTTGATGAGTAAATGTGTTAAAGCAGAATTGAACTTAACTGATGTTTTATATCCTATTATTTAATGATGTTTCTATTTTTGGTTATGTATTTATCTGTGATAATGAAGACTATTATATTTACTGTGCGGTAATTTAGCCGATAGTGTTGTGGTACTTGAGTTCAGTCTTGAGACCATAAATGAACGGTTTCAGTCCTGTCTTGATCTCTGCATTTGAACTTGTCTTGGTCTCAGGGCAAGGTGGACTTTTTTTCCTATCATTATTGAATATCAGCAGTACCTTCAAACTGAATAAAACAGTCATTTAAATGTTTAAGTAAAATGTGTTCACTGCTGGTTGAAGTCCCAATTGATCTTTTCTATAATGCCTTACCTGGATGTTATTTGTTTGTTTACATTCATCAGGTCCAAAATTCAAACATCTCTTAAGACAGATCTGAATGTTTTTATTACAATTTTCATTTAATTATAAAAATTGATGTATGTTATTCAGTTGACTTTAGGTGGTGAAGTTTTAGAAAAGAAGGACAGATAATAACTTCACCATTGTTTACTTCCAAAAGTTACAATGCAAAGTTGACTTGGACAAAGTTTTGGCCTGACTCGCCTCTAATAATCTTGACTGCAACACTGTTAGCCTGCACCATCATTAGAAATATCAGGTTTTATACAGCACTTTGATTGATGCCATTTCAGACCAAATTTTGTTTTTGTTTTGTTTTGTTATGTTTGTTGGGTTAGTTTTGTACTCAAAACTTACTGCTGTTGTTTGGGTCAGGTTTAGGGTAAATTGTTGGGCTCAGGTTGTCAGGGTCAGGCTTGAACAGAAAATTCTCAGGCTATATTCTGGTTTATATAAAAATTTCACAATCAAACTGTGCATTGTATTGGATCGGTGCCATCTCTCGCATATATGTTAAAAGCTTTGCTACACCAAATGCCCAAAACAGTGTTCGGTGAAAGCCTTTAGTAATTCACAGTTAATTTGGAATCCCTGAGAGTTGGTTGCTCGAAGCTGGGTCACAAACACTAGTATGTTCTGCCTCTGCTCATATTGATTTGGAGGAGGAGAGGATTGTGCATGCTTAAGTTGTATGAACACACATATCCAAATACCCTCAAGCTGTAATTTGTGGACAAAATTGGGGGTTGGGGGTGGTGGTGAGTTTCGCAATAGAATGGAGAAAATTGCCAGGCCCTAGTGCAAAACAAGACGGGGCCCAAATATGATTAAGAGTGAATCAGTGTAATTCGCAGAGGAACTGGGTCGACCAAATGAGAAGTTCAGCTTGCCAAGCTTGTTGCTTACGCATGAGAGCGCAGAGACACCGTCCAAAATGTACAGCCAATAGCTGCTGGTTCTCAGCGCCCGTTTCTGTCTTCTTCAGGCTATACCAAATCCCTACAACATTCCCTTCCTAACTACATTTCAGTAAGCGTTTCCAGGAAGTATTTGAGAGATTTTTATTCTGTTTTCATGGATAAAACCCCAATTCAGGGGAAAAAACACCTCTCTGATACAGTCCATTGAGGCCACCTGGCATTTGCACAGCCACTTGGGATCAGTTATTGACTCTGATGCTGGTGACACTTTGATGCAGTTGAATGCTGTGTGAAATCAGTCGGAACCCTGACAGCTCCCCCATGCATAGAGCCAGTCCAGTGTCCAGGAGCATGGAACAGTGGGGACTGAGTCATCAAAATGAGTATTCACTGATTCACTGTGCAGTGTAGGGGACACACAATGTGTACAGAACATTCATCTTTGACTGAAGACTTCTTTGTCAAATGATTCTTGTTCTCTGATGGTGGTATTATGACCATATGTGTCTGACGGTGCTGCTCCAATGACAGGGCCAAGACTAGATAACAGCTCACACATGGCGTTGTCATCCACTGCACATCATGTTCTTGAAAGTGGCTTCCTGTGATCGGAGATGGATCTAAAACTGTCCTTTGAGTTGCTATAATTGTGTCTTTGTGGATCTAAATATAATCAAATGTGTTTGTGGGTGCTGATCTGACAATCTCTTAAGCTTCTGTGTCACCCAGGTAAATCCTACATTTTGGTTTTTTAAGTGAAAATAAGTACACATCTTCTACAGAGAGCAGATGTCTGCACAATTGCTGTTTAATTGCTAAATTTAAAATTTATGGGAAAAAATGTGTCCTGTGCAAAAGGAATTGTGCACTAAAATTTGCATTTGTATTTGCAATTTGCAATACATTTTTGAGGCTTGTTGTGCAGTTGTATCTTCACTCATTGTCCATTTCACCAAGTTCACTATGACACAGATGCATTTTGTAGTTCTACAATTACAGATCACAGTCTCCTTTTACCCCATTCAACAATGGCCAGGACTCTACAAGACCACCACTGAGCAGGCATTATTTGGGGCGTGGATCATTCTCAGCACTGCAATGCACAGTCAGCACTCCAGCAACACTGCTGTGTGTGATCCACACCTAAAAATGCACATAATATATATATATATATAATATATAATATATATATATATATATATATATATGTGTGTGTATATATAGACCCAACACCACAAAAAGTACCTGCTCAGTAGTGGTCCTGTGGAGTTCTGATTGTAGGAATGGGTTCTTAATGTTGATAAACAGGATAAAGGGAGAGAAACGAATTATACAGAAAAATACTACAGAGCGATTCACTTGAAAGAGGCCCTGAATATTCTGTTGTAACTCCCATTAGGATGAAGCAATCTGAACCAAAAAAATATGCATTACATGCGATGCTAGAAGTGATCTCCATTTTCTGCCAGACACATTTGAAGGGGTACGGCAGTATGCACTCGAAAGTTGCAAACAGAGGTTAA